TCTAATGCGAGGATCGTGCATCATACGTATCTACAACCGCAGTTCAAAATATATGAACTTCATATATTCATTGTATCTGATTTATCATCACGGGTTTATTACGAATCAACTTAACGGCCTGCTCCCAGTTGGCTTGTTAGCTCAATTGGTAGAGCGCTGCACTAGTATCGCAGAGGTCAGTAGTTCGAATCCCGTACAGGCCTGATTTTTTTCAGGTCTGATTTTCGCTATTGCATAAATAGCGCTCTCTACTGCGAGGATCGTGCATCATACGAGTTTAAGGTTATATAATGAATTAAAACGCCTTGATACAAGTTTTTCATATCCGTTAATTTGGAAAATCAATAAAGTTCAAGAACGTTTTGAGAACTATAAAATATCAAACAGCTCTTAATTGAACTGACAGAAATTACAGTGTAACGCTTACCCTGCGTAAAAAACAACGATAATGCAAGGTTGAAATTTCATCTGTGATGTACAAATTCGAGCACAAATTGCAGCTGGGGGACTTTTACAGATTTGAAAATAAAATAAAAATTCTCTATTAACGACAAAGGCATGGTTTTTGTAATATCCAGTTCATTCCGACGGTTCCGGTGACTCGGTTTGCGCATGCGCGTGGTCCTCGCTTTAAGATGCCACGCTGTCAGCTGTAGTTGAAAAAGTGTTTGTCATTATTAAAACAGCCATTTTATCTAGAGAAGACTTGCGATTGCTACTTTTTAATTTTACTTTGGTTATCTGCTTTAGCCACAAGATGATTTCGATATCCAACGAATGTTTAAGGTTTAAATTCATTAAACTGGGCAAACATTTCATGTGGTTTGGAACTAGTAAATGCCGCGAATATTTAATGGAGAAACTGCGTTGCAACATTGCTTTTTTTTTCTTTTACTGTTTCAATAAAGACTGTCGCCCATCTGTCAGAGTTCATGTTTATCAAAGAACACTCAATTGTTATAACGTACCCTTTGATTGGAACTGGTATGATGTGGCTGGTACTACAGGAGGTAACACCCGTGGCACAGTGCACTTTTTATCTTTGAACTTTTTTCTTTATAGTTCAAATCCAGCAAGACCTAGAGAGTGATGATAGCGATGACAGTAATGACGAGTCCAAAGATCGAAGTGAAGATGAGAAAATCGTAGAGCACACCAATCATGAAGAGCCTGAAGAGAGAGATGAGACTGAAGAGGTTGAAAAACCACAGGATAAACACGAGGATCCATTAGAGAAGAAAGACGAACCTGAAAAACAAGAAGAAGAATCTGAAGAACAGCACGAAGATGACGTCGAAGACGAGCCTGACAAGACATTAAGCTGGGGAAGACGAACAGTTTATCGTGAATAAGGGTATGTTTAATAACCCTCTGCTTCTTCTGAAAAATAAGAACTTTGATATATTGAGATCTTTTCACCAATTTAGAGGACTAATGGTAAACAACCTCTCATCATCATACCTTGCACAAATTGTTAGTTTCTCAAATTTCGTCACCTTGTTTTCCTTGCTAAATTACGTAAAATGGTTTATTCGAACGGTTAAAGAGTTTTTACACTACGGTACCCCACTTTGGATAACATTCTCGCTATGAATAAGTCTGAGAAGAGAGTAAGTATTTATTACAGGGAAAGTTGCTGAATGACTTCTTTTATCCTTGGGTCATGTTACTATGTAACAGATAAAAACCTTACAGATGAAAATCTGCCAGCAGCCCCCGGGCGAGAGTCTCCA